TTCTCTTATCCAGTCAGTTCATTCAACTAATAGGTAAGACAACCACATATCGCAGTCAAACAGGATGACGTCACGATATCAACATATTTCTACAAATACCATCTCAAGTTTCATAAAATTTGAGGCATTTCTTTGTGTAAATCATTTTTAATAGCAACAAGTGGGCATGTTAAAAGGAAAGTAAAGAGCGCTTATCTCATGTGTCATGAAGAGAGCTACCATTTGGCACGTTCAGTTAAAATAAGGGCGGGGGCGGGGGGCCGACATAAAACAGATCACAACAATAGAACACTTCCTTATCCATCACGTCTTTAACAACAAATGATATTCTCATGGACATGGTTCAAAAGAGACAGAAATACACAGTGATTCATCCCAAATGGCACCCTATTCCCTATATAGTGCACTACTTTAGACCAGAGCCCTAGTAAAAAGTAGTGCACTATTTAGGGAATAGGGTGCGAAATATATATATATATATATATATATATATATATATATGGAACATACAGTCACCATATCCTTTCAGTGCCCTGTTAGGCACTCTAGATCATCTCCAAACCAGGACAACTCCACAGATCTGTCCTAAATTGCACCCTGTTCCCTATATAGTGCACTACTGTTGACCAGAGCCCAATAGTGGCTCTGTGCACTATATAGGGAACAGGGTGTCATTTAGGATGCACTTCAATAATTTCTTCCTCCCTTCATTGAGTGACCACTGATCCTGCCATTGATTGGGTTGGGGGTAAACAGCCCTATCCAACCATGTTATATCAGTGATGACTTCAGGAAAGTAAAGACCACAGGAAGGATGCATTAAGAGAGAACTAAAAACAGGGCCCGGGACGGCACCAACGCAAAAGGCTTGAAAAGCAAAATAAACTCAAAATACTCTAGAATGGCGCCCTGTACTGCATTCTCACTGCCAGTGTCCTGAGAGAATGTCCGCGACTCAAATTGCACCCTATTCCCTATGTAAGTACACTACTTTTGACCAGGGCCAATACAGCTCTGGCCAAAACTGGAGCACTATATAGGGAATAGGGTGTCATTTGGGACACACAACTAGTAGGTTAAAGCAAAATTGTGGAACCCATGAAACCTATGTAACACAACCTCTGATACAGACTGAAGGAAAGTAGGCAGGAGTTTCTCTGCTAGTGATTCCAAACAGATGGGAATGAATTCAAGAAGCCCTTCTGTTAACATAAACAGAAAAATGTCATACAGTATACAGTCTGATAAATAAAAATGGCATATGATATGTTTGACTTTGGAAACAGATTACTGAAACACTGATTTAAAAATAAAAATTAATTCCTGAAATGTTAAATCTGTCGAAACAATCTGTATCAATAGGCACTTAAATATTTTATTTTTTATGATTTTATTTTTCTGTAGTAAATGGCACAGCAGCGAGATATGGGAAATCGGGATCACTTGAAGATTGGCAAGAAGCAGATAAAGCTAAGATGCATTGTGGGGCTTGTAGTCCTGCCGGGAGGAGCCGAGTCCTTTAGTAGATTAGATCCCAAATCAACCCCTAGATCATACGCCCTGTGCAGTTGAGGTGATTCAACAGATGTAATCAATTTGGTAATAGCTCCAACTGGACCTCTGATAGGCTAGGTTGAAGTTTCACCATACTGCTTATACCAATGAAATTATTTTTGATCTCCACAAGTGCATAGGGCAGGATTCCCCTACTGGCGGCCCTGCGGGCCATTATATTTGGGCCCCCCAAGTTGACCTTTTTTTTTTTTAAATTTCTATTTTTATTGTTGGACATAAGACTGTACAAACGCCAGGAAATCAGCTCCAAGTGATTTTAAATTTTGGAAATCTGTTCCAAAGTATTCCCACGCATAATATAGAGATATATATATATGTGATTGTATACAAACGTAAGCAAGGTCTGAAATGATTACGTTTTAGTCAAATATTATATCGGTTTGGGCTTCTTGCGGTCAATTTGCAGTCTTACAAATGTGTAATTATGTTCTGGCCCCCTGAACATCTACTCAAGAAAAAAAATCTAAACTTGGCCCGCGGCTGAATCTAGTTGATGATCCCTGCCATAGGGTCTAGGGGTCGATTTGGGATTGGGCCATTGACATGAGAAGGCTGGATGCAGCCTGAGGGGGAGGGGAGAAAAGGTGGTCTTTTTGGTGTGGGTGTGGGTTGGAGGGTTGGATGGGGTCTGAGACTTTATGAAGACTTCTCTTTCTTCACTCTCGGCGAATCAGCTCCGTTGGAACTTACTCCATTCACTCCATTGGCTGCAAACGACAGAGAATGAAGTCAATGTCCATGGATCAAATGACAGGTGAGGAAAATTAACATGCAAAAGAAAAGAAAAAACAGTATAATTGGACACATCTGGCCCCTCATTGGACACTGTGTTAACAAACCTCCAAACGAGCTTCAATGCCATACAACACTCCTTCAGTAGCCTCCAACTGCTCTTAAACACTAGTAAAACTAAATGCATGCTCTTCAATCGAACGCTGCTTCCGCCCGCCCGACTAGAATCACTACTCTCGGCGGGTCTGACTTAGAATATGTGGACAACTACAAATACCTAGGTGTCTGATTAGACTGTAAACTCTCCTTCCAGACTCACATTAAGCATCTCCAATAAAAAGTTAGATCTAGAATCGGCTTCTTATTTTGCAACAAAGCCTCTTTCATGCTGCCAAACATGCCCTCGTAAAACTGACTATCCTACCGATCCTTGACTTCGGCGATGTCATTTACAAAATAGCCTCCAAAACTCTACTCAGCAAATTGGATGTAGTCTATCACAGTGCCATCCGTTTTGTCACCAAAGCCCCATATACTACCCACCATTGTGACCTGTACGCTCTTGTTGGCTGGCCCTCACTACATATTTGTCGCCAAACCCACTGGCTCCAGGTCATCTATAAATCACTGCTAGGCAAATCCCCGCCTTATCTTAGCTCATTGGTCACCATAGCAGCACCCACCCGTAGTCTGCGCTCCAGCAGGTATATCTCACTGGTCATCCCCAAAGCCAACACCTTCTTTGGCCGCCATTCCTTCCAGTTCTCTGCTGTCAATGACTGGAACGAACTGCAAAAATCTCTGAAGCTGGAGACTCTTATCTCCCTCACTAACTTTAAGCATCAGTTGTCAGAGCAGCTTACCGATCACTGCACCTGTACACAGCCCATCTGTAATTAGCCCACCCAACTACCTCATCCCCATATTGTTATTTATTTTGCTCATTTGCACCCCAGTATCTCTATTTGCACATCATCTTCTGCACATCTATCATTCCAGTGTTAATACTAAATTGTAACTATTTAGCACTATGGCCTATTTATTGCCTTACCTCCATAACTTGCTACATTTGCACACACTGTATATATATATTCTGTTGTATTTTTGACTTTATGTTTTGTTTTACCCCATATGTAACTCTGTGTTGTTTTTATCGCACTGCTTTGCTTTATCTTGGCCAGGTCGCAGTTGTAAATGAGAACTTGTTCTCAACTGGCTTACCTGGTTAAATAAAGGTTAAATTAAAAATTTAAATTAAAAAGTATAATGACATTTTCCTTGTTTGACTCTGAAACACTGCAATAACAACTTCATTAAAACAATATAAAAGCCTTATCAAAGAACTTTCCCTTTCACATTGTCAAGGCGTATTTTCTGGCATCCTAGTATAGTGTTGCTTCCTGGGTTATAGTGTTGCTTCCTGGGTTATAGTGTTGCTTCCTGGGTTATAGTGTTGCTTCCTGGGTTATAGTGTTGCTTCCAGGGTTATAGTGTTGCTTCCAGGGTTATAGTGTTGCTTCATTTACATTTACATTTTAGTCATTTAGCAGACGCTCTTATCCAGAGCGACTTACAGTTAGTGAGTGCATACATTTTTTATTTTTTCATACTGGCCCCCCGTGGGAATCGAACCCACAACCCTGGCGTTGCAAACGCCATGCTCTACCAACTGAGCAACATCCCTGCTGGCCATTCCCTCCCCTACCCTGGACGACACTGGGCCAATTGTGCGCCGCCCCATGGGTCTCCCGTTCCTGGGTTATAGTGTTGCTTCCTGGGTTATAGTGTTGCTTCCTGGGTTATAGTGTTGCTTCCTGGGTTATAGTGTTGCTTCCTGGGTTATAGTGTTGCTTCCTGGGTTATAGTGTTGCTTCCTGGGTTATAGTAATATAATAATAATAATAATATGCCATTTAGCAGACGCTTTTATCCAAAGCGACTTACAGTCATGCGTGCATACATTTGTGTGTATGGGTGGTCCCGGGGATCGAACCCACTACCTTGGCGTTACAAGCGCCGTGCTCTACCAGCTGAGCTACAGAGGACCACAGTGTTGCTTCCAGGGTTATAGTGTTGCTTCCAGGGTTATAGTGTTGCTTCCTGGGTTATAGTGTTGCTCCCTGGGTTATAGTGTTGCTTCCTGGGTTATAGTGTTGTTCCCTGGGTTATAGTGTTGCTTCCTGGGTTATAGTGTTGCTTCCTGGGTTATAGTGTTGCTTCCTGGGTTATAGTGTTGCTTCCTGGGTTATAGTGTTGCTTCCTGGGTTATAGTGTTGCTTCCAGGGTTATAGTGTTGCTTCCTGGGTTATAGTGTTGCTTCCTGGGTTATAGTGTTGCTTCCTGGGTTATAGTGTTGCTTCCTGGGTTATAGTGTTGCTTCCTGGGTTATAGTGTTGCTTCCTGGGTTATAGTGTTGCTTCCTGGGTTATAGTGTTGCTTCCTGGGTTATAGTGTTGCTTCCTGGGTTATAGTGTTGCTTCCTGGGTTATAGTGTTGCTTCCTGGGTTATAGTGTTGCTTCCTGGGTTATAGTGTTGCTTACTGGGTTATAGTGTTGCTTCCTGGGTTATAGTGTTGCTTCCTGGGTTATAGTGTTGCTTCCTGGGTTATAGTGTTGCTTCCTGGGTTATAGTGTTGCTTCCTGGGTTATAGTGTTGCTTCCTGGGTTATAGTGTTGCTTCCTGGAAAACGTTAGTTTCTGCAACTATCCTCTGGTATGTAGTTCTGCTCACCTTTGTCTTTCTTGGACTTGCTCTTGGGAGCTTGGGGCTTCTTGGGTTTCAGGGGCTGGGCCTGGGGCTTGGTCTGCTCTCTCCACCTCCTCAGCTGGAAGTTGATGAACTTCCACATCATGAAGGCCTGAGTCACACAGATGGTCGCCAGCACAGTGATCCTGTGGGGTAGGAGATAAAGATGTGTTAGCGACACTTAAAGTATGAAGTGGTAGATTCTTGAAGGTAGATTAACTTAAAAAAGGTATCACAGCAATTCACAAACTAAACAGCTTGGCCGACTTCCACCACAACTACAACTAAGGCTAAACTGTTCTGCTGTTTTAGTCCAGCAGCTACAGCACCATGTTAATGAAACGCTCCGTGCACATGCCAGACACTCTGTGTGAGGGCACAGTCATCCTGCTACTCGTGGTCAAGTCACACTCTCTCTCTCTTACCGAACGAAGAGTACGTTGAAGTTTCCGTTGGCCAGGTCCAGTACTTGTTGATCAGCGTTGGCCAGGCCGAAACCCACAGTCAGAACAGACAGGGACAGGGTGAGCAGCCGCCCAAGAACAAACAGCACCGCCCAGACGGTGAACCTAGGACAGAGACCCGACACACCGTGACACAGGCGGACACGCACGGACACGGACACACACACACACGGACACACACACGGACACACACACGGACACACACACACACACAAGTAAGATGACCATGACATCTACTGCCTCCCTTTGATCTCAATTTTCTTTTTCCAATTGATATCAACACTATCATTACTCAAGACCTTGAGAGTGTAGCTAGCTAGTAGCTTAACTTCCTATACGTCCTTGTCTAAAATGCTAAGATGGCATCTTGTTGTAGGGCTTTGAAGTATGCCGTGTGTCAAATCAAATTGTATTTGTCACATGCGCCGAATACAACAGGTGTAGACCTTACAGTGAAATGCTTACATACAAGCCCTTAACCAACCATGCAGTTAAGAATGAATACCAAAAAATTAAATAAAAAAAGACAATATAAAATAATACTAAATAAAAGTAACAAATAAGTAAAGAGCAGCAGTAAAAATAACAATAGCGAGGCTATATACAGGGGGTACCGGTACAGAGTCAATGTGCAGGGGCACCGGTTAGTCAAGGTAATTGGGGTAATATGTACATGTAGGTAAAGTTATTAAAGTGACTATGCATAGATAATAAACAGAGTAGCAGCAGCGTAAAATAGTTTGGGGGGGGGGGGGGGGGGGGGGCAATGCAAATAGTCTGGGTAGCCATTTGATTAGATGTTCAGGAGTCTTATGGCTTGGGGGTAGAAGCTGTTTAGAAGCCTCTTGGACCTAGACGTGGCGCTCCGGTACCGCTTGCCGTGCGGTAGCAAAGAGAACAGTCTATGACTAGGGTGGCTGGAGTCTTTGACAATTTTTAGGGCCTTCCTTTGACACCGCCTGGTATAGAGGTCCTGGATGGCAGGAAGCTTGGCCCCAGTGATGTACTGGGCCGTACGCTCTACCCTCTGTAGTGCCGTGCAGTCGGAGGCCGAGCAGTTGCCATATCAGGCAGTGATGCAACCAGTCAGGATGCTCTCGATGGTGCAGCTGTGGAACCTTTTGAGGATCTGAGGACCCATGCCAAATCTTTTCAGTCTCCTGAGGGGGAATAGGCTTTGTCGTGCGCTCTTCACGACTGTCTTGGTGTGTTTGGACCATGATAGTTTGTTGGTGATGTGGACACCAAGGAACTTGAAGCTCTCAACCTGTTCCACTACAGCCCCGTCGATGAGAATGGGGGCGTGCTCAGTCCTCTTATTTTTCCTGTAGTCCACAATCATCTCCTTTGTCTTGCTCATGTTGAGGGTGAGGTTGTTGTCCTGGCACCACATGGCCAGGTCTCTGACCTCCTCCCTATAGGCTGTCTCGTTGTTGTCGGTGATCAGGCCTACCACTGTTGTGTTGTCGGAAAACTTAATGAGGGTGTTGGAGTCGTTCCTGGCCATGCAGTCATGGGTGAACAGGGAGTACAGGAGGGGACTGAGCACGCACCCTTGAGGGGCCCCCGTGTTGAGGATCAGCATGGCGGATGTGTTGTTACCTACCCTTACCACCTGGGGGTGGCCCGTTAGGAAGTCCAGGATCCAGTTGCAGAGGGAGGTGTTTAGTCCCAGGGTCCTTAGCTTAGTGATGAGCTTTGAGGGCACTATGGTGTTGAACGCTGAGCTGTAGTCAATGAATAGCATTCTCACATAGGTGTTCCTTTTGTCCAGGTGTGAAAGGGCAGTGTGGAGCGCAATAGAGATCGCATCATCTGTGGATCTGTTGGGGCGGTATGCAAATTGGAGTGGGTCTAGGGTTTATGGGATAATGGTGTTGATGTGAGCCATGACCAGCCTTTCAAAGCACTTCATGGCTACAGACGTGAGTGCTACGGGTCGGTAGTCATTTAGGCAGGTTACCTTAGTGTTCTTGGGCACAGGGACTATGGTGGTCTGCTTGAAACATGTTGGTATTACAGAATCAGACAGGGAGAGGTTGAAAATGTCAGTGAAGACACTTGGTCAGCGCATGCTCGGAGTACACGTCCTGGTAATCCGTCTGGTCCTGCGGCCTTGTGAATGTTGACATGTTTAAAGGTCTTACTCACATCGGCTACGGAGAGCGTGATCACACAGTCGTCCGGAACAGCTGATGCCTTCATGCATGTTTCAGTGTTACTTGCCTCGAAGCATACATAGAAGTGATTTAGCTTGTCTGGTAGGCTTGTGTCACTGGGCAGCTCGCGGCTGAGCTTCCCTTTGTAGTCTGTAATAGTTTGCAAGCCCTGCCACATCCGACGAGCGTCAGAGCCGGTGTAGTATGATTCGATCTTAGTCCTGTATTGACGCTTTGCCTGTTTGATGGTTCGTCAGAGGGCATAGTGGGATTTCTTATAAGCTTCCGGGTTAGAGTCCCACTCCTTGAAAGCGCCAGCTCTACCCTTTAGCTCAGTGCAGATGTTGCCTGTAATCCATGGCTTCTGGTTGGGGTATGTACGTACGGTCACTGTGGGGACGACATCATCGATGCACTTATTGATGAAGCCAGTGACTGATGTGGTGTACTCCTCAATGCTGTCTGAAGAATCCCAGAACATGTTCCAGTCTGTGCTAGCAAAACAGTCCTGTAGCTTAGCATCTGCGTCATCTGACCACTTTTTTATTGACCGAGTCACTGGTGCTTCCTGCTTTAGTTTTTGCTTGTAAGCAGGAATCAGGAGGATAGAATTATGGTCAGATTTGCCAAATGGAGGGCGAGGGAGAGCTTTGTACGCATCGCTGTGTGTTTCCCTGCATTAAAGTCCCCGGCCACTAGAAGTGCCGCCTCTGGATGAGCGTCTTCCTGTTTGCTTATGGCTGTATACAGTTAATTGAGTGCGGTCTTAGTGCCAGCATCGGTTTGTGGTGGTAAATAGACAGCTACGAAGAATATAGATGAAAACTATCTTGGTAGATAGTGTGGTCTACAGCTTATCATACTTTAGGCGAGCAAAACCTTGAGACTTCCTTAGATATCGTGCACCAGCTGTTGTTTACAAATATACACAGACCGCCACCCCTTGTCTTACCAGAGGCTGCCGTTCTATCCTACCGATACAGTGTATAACCTGCCAGCTGTATGTTATCCGTGTCATCGTTCAGCCGCGACTCTGTGAAACATAAGATATTACAGTTTTTAATGTCCCGTTGGTAGGATATATACGTGTCCCGTTGGTAGGATATATACGTGTCCCGTTGGTAGGATATATACGTGTCCCGTTGGTAGGATATATACGTGTCCCGTTGGTAGGATATATACGTGTCCCGTTGGTAGGATATATACGTGTCCCGTTGGTAGGATATATACGTGTCCCGTTGGTAGGATATATACGTGTCCCGTTGGTAGGATATATACGTGTCCCGTTGGTAGGATATATACGTGTCCCGTTGGTAGGATATATACGTGTCCCGTTGGTAGGATATATACGTGCCCCGTTGGTAGGATATATACGTGCCTGTAATTCGTCCAATTCATTATGAAGCGATCGTAAATTGGCCAATAGTATCGATGGCAAAGGCAGATTAGCCACTCGTCGCCGGCTCCTTACCAGGCACCCCGATCTCCTTCCGCGATATCTCCTTTTCTTTCTGCTGCGAGTGACGGGGATGAGGGCCCTGTCGGGTGTCTGGAGGACATCCCTATCGTCCGACTCATTAAAGAAAAAGTATTCGTCCAGTTCAAGGTGAGTAATCGCTGTTCTGATGTCCAGAAGCTCTTTTCGGTCATAAGAGACGGAAGCAGCAACATTATTTACAAAATAAAGTTACAAACAATGTGAAAAAACACACAAAATAGCACAGTTGGTTAAGAGTCCTCCACCTCAACTCACCCAGTGTGTGTGTGTGTGTGTGTGTGTGTGTGTGTGTGTGTGTGTGTGTGTGTGTGAAACCTCAACTGACCCAGTCTGTCTCTTCTGTGTGTGTGTGTGTGTGTGTGTGTGTGTGTGTGTGTGTGTGTGTGGTGTGTCTGTGTCTGTGTCTGTGTCTGTGTCTGTGTCTGTGTCTGTGTCTGTGTCTGTGTCTGTGTGTGTGTGTGTGTGCTCACCCTGTCAGTCTCTTCTCGTTGCTGAAGTAGACCAGGCGGGACACGTGGAAGAGAAGCTCTACAAAGTAGTGGAACACCAGCAGAACCAGAGCCAGACGATTCAGACTGGAAGACACAAAATGGACGCCGTTAGATGGTTAGATGCTTCATAGAGGAGGTAGCTATCACCATGATCTATTTTTGTCCCCAGAAACCTCCAGGAAGTATTGGGGCATACTGAAGCTACTAAGTTCAGCTAAGGTTGAGCGTGGAACCAGGCCTACTCAATGATAATAAAGAACATGTTGACGTGAAGTGAACTTACAGTAATGTTGACGTGAACTTACAGTAATGTTGATGTGAACTTACAGTAATGTTGACGTGAACTTACAGTAATGTTGACGTGAAGTGAACTTACAGTAATGTTGACGTGAACTGAACTTACAGTAATGTTGACGTGAACTTACAGTAATGTTGATGTGAACGTATGTTGATGTGAACGTATGTTGATGTGAAGTGAACTTACAGTAAAGTTGATGTGAACGTATGTTGATGTGAACGTATGTTGATGTGAACTGAACTTACAGTAATGTTGATGTGAACTTACAGTAATGTTGATGTGAACTTACAGTAATGTTGATGTGAAGTGAATTTACAGTAATGTTGATGTGAACGTATGTTGATGCGAAGAGAACCAGGTCTTACTTGAGGATGTAGGCTCCTGCGATGTGGACCAAGTACAGAGCGATATATACTAACTGACGAGGAATGTCCTCCTACACAACACACACACACACAAAGGATGTCAGTAAAACATTTACTCTGTTTGTGCATTACGTGTAATGACCTCAGGCAAATGTTAGAAATTCTTTAAATACAATGTTAACATATGGAAATCAAACAAGAAATGGTATGTAGCCTGTCTGTATGCCTCGTGATTCTACTTGTGAGTTCAGTAATTTCAACCCAAATAACGCACACACACACACACACACACACACACACACACACACACACATACACACGTACTCACTTTCTTGGTCTTTTGGAAGTAGAGCTCGGGGAGGGCGTGAAGCCAGTAGCCCAACTGACAGATGAAATAGAACTTCATCTGGAACCTACAAGCAGGACAAATGAACACCAAGTCTGTCAATTCTAACATAATCACCTTACATTTGCATTTTTTGTCATTTAGCAGACACCCTTATACAGAGCGACTTACAATCAGTGCATTCAACTAAGGTAGGTAAGACAACCACATATCACAGTAAGTAAAACTTTCCTGCAAAAAAAAAAAACAGCTATCATTTGCAATCAAATATCTCAGAATAATTAAGCACTAATCAGATTGGTTTAGACACACAGAGGTACATGCTGAGTAAAGACACTCATTCCATATGGGAGTCAGTACCAAATATCTGTTGCTATGACAAACTCATTCCATATGGGAGTCAGTACCAAATATCTGTTGCTATGACAAACTCATTCCATATGGGAGTCCGTACCAAATATCTGTTGCTATGACAAACTCATTCCATATGGGAGTCAGTACCAAATATCTGTTGCTATGACAAACTCATTCCATATGGGAGTCAGTACCAAATATCTGTTGCTATGACAAACTCATTCCATATGGGAGTCCAGTACCAAATATCTGTTGCTATGACAAAACTCATTCCATATGGGAGTCAGTACCAAATATCTGTTGCTATGACAAACTCATTCCATATGGGAGTCAGTACCAAATATCTGTTGCTATGACAAACTCATTCCATATGGGAGTCAGTACCAAATATCTGTTGCTATGACAAACTCATTCCATATGGGAGTCAGTACCAAATATCTGTTGCTATGACAAACTCATTCCATATGGGAGTCAGTACCAAATATCTGTTGCTATGACAAACTCATTCCATATGGGAGTCAGTACCAAATATCTGTTGCTATGACAAACTCCATTCCATATGGGAGTCAGTACCAAATATCTGTTGCTATGACAAACTCATTCCATATGGGAGTCAGTACCAAAAATCTGTTGCTATGACAAACTCATTCCATATGGGAGTCAGTACCAAATATCTGTTGCTATGACAAACTCATTCCATATGGGAGTCAGTACCAAATATCTGTTGCTATGACAAACTCATTCCATATGGGAGTCAGTACCAAATATCTGTTGCTATGACAAACTCATTCCATATGGGAGTCAGTACCAAAAAATCTGTTGCTATGACAAACTCATTCCACATGGGAGTCAGCACCAACACACCCACCTCCTTCTATTAACGTCTATGCAAATCCTGCGACTAACAAGAAAATACACCACCTCTGATCTGTCCAATCAAATATCTAAAGCTTGTATGAGCACACTAGTTTACAGTGGTTTACACAAAAGGTACTAAGTAAGGAGAATGGTTTCCACACTTATAGACTGGCTATAGAACTTAGACTAGTTTACACCAGTACTTAGGACTACTTGGGAGAACTAAGCTCTGAGTATTCAACCTGTATGTTTAAACAAACCCACCTACTTCCCTTAACGTCTATGCAAAAATTGCACCAGTTGACATTAGTTTACATATGGAACTGAGGACTGAGAATGCTCAGTGGTGGTTGGTCATTAGGGAACTGAGGACTGAGAATACTGAGTGGTGGTTGGTCATTAGGGAACTGAGGACTGAGAATACTGAGTGGTGGTTGGTCATTAGGGAACTGAGGACTGAGAATACTGAGTGGTGGTTGGTCATTAGGGAACTGAGGACTGAGTATACTGAGTGGTGGTTGGTCATTAGGGAACTGAGGACTGAGAATACTGAGTGGTGGTTGGTCATTAGCGAGACTGAGAATGCTCAGTGGTGGTTGGTCATTAGGGAACTGAGGACTGAGAATGCTCAGTGGTGGTTGGTCATTAGGGAACTGAGGACTGAGAATGCTCAGTGGTGGTTGGTCATTAGGGAACTGAGGACTGAGAATACTGAGTGGTGGTTGGTCATTAGGGAACTGAGGACTGAGAATACTGAGTGGTGGTTGGTCATTAGGGAACTGAGGACTGAGAATGATGAGTGGTGGTTGGTCATTAGGGAACTGAGGACTGAGAATACTGAGTGGTGGTTGGTCATTAGGGAACTGAGGACTGAGAATACTGAGTGGTGGTTGGTCATTAGTGAACTGAGGACTGAGAATGATGAGTGGTGGTTGGCCATTACAAAGGAAACAACAGCTAGGGGGATATGGAAAGGTTTACTTGTGTTTAGTTGTACACATGGCTCTTAAAGGGGCAGTACCCACTAATGAGCCTTTTGTACAATGTGCTTGTTTGCATTGTGTTTACATGGTCTGGCTCCAGTACTTACGGCATCAAGGTATGGGGGTAGCCTTCCCATAGATTCACTGGGTTGGACAGGAAGTTCTCCTGGAGAAGAGAAATGTATTGTTGATCATATGGATGACAGAGACAGACAGGAGACAGAGACAGACAGACAGGAGACAGACAGGATGCACAGAGACAGACATACATTTACATTTTAGTCATTTAGCAGACGCTCTTATCCAGAGCGACTTACAGTTAGTGAGTGCATACATTATTATTTTTTTATTTTGCATACTGGCCCCCCGTGGGAAACGAACCCACAACCCTGGCGTTGCAAACGCCATGCTCTACCAACTGAGCTACATCCCTGCCGGCCATTCCCTCCCCTACCCTGGACGACGCTGGGCCAATTGTGCGCCGCCCTATGGGTCTCCCGGTCACGGCCGGCTACGACAGAGCCTGGATTCGAACCAGGATCTAGTGGCACAGCTAGCAATTCAATGCAGTGCCTTAGACCACTGCGCCACTCGGGAGAACAGAGACAGACAGAGAGGAGACAGAGAGAGACAGACAGAGAGGAGACAGAGAGAGACAGACAGAGAGGAGACAGAGAGAGACAGACAGAGAGGAGACACAGAGAGACAGACAGAGAGAGAGACAGACAGAGGAGACAGACAGAGAGGAGACAGACAGAGAGGAGACACAGAGAGGAGACAGACAGAGAGGAGACAGACAGAGAGGAGACAGACAGAGAGGAGACAGACAGAGAGGAGACAGACAGAGAGGAGACAGACAGAGGAGACACAGAGAGACAGACAGAGAGGAGACAGACAGAGAGGAGACACAGAGAGACAGACAGAGAGGAGACACAGAGAGGAGCTACAGAAAGACAGACAGAGAGGAGACACAGAGAGACAGACAGAGAGGAGACAGACAGAGAGGAGCCAGACACAGAGAGACAGACAAAGAGGAGACACAGAGAGACAGACAGAGAGGAGACAGAGAGGAGACAGACAGAGAGGAGACACAGAGGAGACAGACAGAGAGGAGACACAGAGGAGACAGACAGAGAGGAGACACAGAGAGACGAGACACAGAGAGACAGACACAGAGGAGACAGACAGCGGGCTGTCATGTGCCATTGGGTAATTTATTTTAAAATAGATATGTCCATTTTATACATGATATAATAACAGATTGCATTTTGCACCCCCACCCCAGTCACCTCAAGATGGTTTTGACCACTAAAGTTTTGCTTTGCTCCCACATGGACTGTTTTGGATCAGTGCCGTAATTTTATTTATTTCACCTTTATTTAACGAGGTAAGCCAGTTGAGAACAAGTTCTCATTTACAACTGTGACCTGGCCAAGATAAAGCAAAGCAGTGCGGAAAAAACAACAACAACAACACAGAGTTACACATGGGGTAAACAAAAACGTACAGTCAATAACGAATAGGAAATTTATATAGTGTGTGCAAATGTAGTAAGTTATGGAGGTAAGGCAATAAATAGGCCATAGTGCAAAATAATTACAATTTAGTATTAACACTGGAGTGATAGATTTGCAGAAGATGATGTGCAAATAGAGATACTGGGGTGCAAATGAGCAAAATAAATAACAATATGGGGATGAGGTAGTTGGGTGGGCTAATTACAGATGGGCTGTGTACAGGTGCAGTGATCGGTAAGCTGCTCTGACAACTGATGCTTAAAGTTAGTGAGGGAGATAAGAGTCTCCAGCTTCAGAGATTTTTGCAATTTGTTCCAGTCATTGGCAGCAGAGAACTGGAAGGAATGGCGGCCAAAGGAGGTGTTGGCTTTGGGGATGACCAGTGAGATATACCTGCTGGAGCGCAGACTATGGGTGGGTGTTGCTATGGTGACCAATGAGCTAAGATAAGGCGGGGATTTGCCTAGCAGTGATTTATAGATGGCCTGGAACCAGTGGGTTTGGTGACGAATATGTAGTGAGGACCAGCCAACAAGAGCGTACAGGTCGCAGTGGTGGGTAGTATATGGGGCTTTGGAGACAAAACGGATGGCACTGTGATAGACTACATCCAATTTGCTGAGTAGAGTGTTGGAGGCTATTTTGTAAATGACATCGCCGAAGTCAAGGATCGGTAGGATAGTCAGTTTTACGAGGGCATGTTTGGCAGCATGAGTGAAAGAGGCTTTGTTGCGAAATAGGAAACCGATTCTAGATTGAACTTTGGATTGGAGATGCTTAATGTGAGTCTGGAAGGAGAGTTTACAGTCTAACCAGACACCTAGGTATTTGTAGTTGTCCACATACTCTAGGTCAGACCCGTCGAGAGTAGTGATTCTAGTCGGGTGGACGGGTGCCAGCAGCGTTCGATTGAAGAGCATGCATTTAGTTTTACTAGTGTTTAAGAGCAGTTGGAGGCTACTGAAGGAGTGTTGTATGGCATTGAAGCTCGTTTGGAGGTTTGTTAACACAGTGTCCAATGAAGGGCCAGATGTATACAAAATGGTGTCGTCTGCGTAGAGGTGGATCTGAGAGTCACCAGCAGCAAGAGCGACATCATTGATATACACAGAGAAAAGAGTCGGCCCAAGAATTGAACCCTGTGGCACCCCCATAGAGACTGCCATAGGTCCAGACAACAGGCCCTCCGATTTGACACATTGAACTCTATCTGAGAAGTAGTTGGTGAACCAGGCGAGGCAGTCATTTCAGAAACCAAGGCTATTTAGTCTGCCAATAAGAATGCGGTGATTGACAGAGTCGAAAGCCTTGGCCAGGTCGATGAAGACGGCTGCACAGTACTGTCTATTATCGATCGCGGTTATAATATCATTTAGGACCTTGAGCGTGGCTGAAGTGCACCCACAACCAGCTCGGAAACCTGATTGCATAGCGGAGAAGGTACGGTGGGATTCGAAATGGTCGGTGATCTGTTTGTTAACTTGGCTTTCAAAAACTTTCGAAAGGCAGGGCAGGATGGATATAGGTCTGTAACAGTTTGGATCTAGAGTGTCACCCCCTTTGAAGAGGAGGATGACCGCGGCAGCTTTCCAATCTCTGGGGATCTCAGACGATACGAAAGAGAGGTTGAACAGGCTAGTAATAGGGGTTGCGACAATTTCGGCGGCTAATTTTAGAAAGGGTCCAGATTGTCTAGCCCAGCTGATTTGTAGGGGTCCAGATTTTGCAGCTCTTTCAGAACATCAGCTGTCTGAATTTGGGTGAAGGAGAAGCGGGGGGGGGGGGTCAGCAAGGCTGTGTGTTGGTCAGCAGGCTGTAGCTGGTGTTGTCAGCAGGCTGTGTGTTGGTCAGTAGGCTGTAGGCTGTGTTGTGGTTGGTCAGCAGGTGTTGTTGGTCAGCAGGGGTGTTGGTCAGCAGGTGTTTTGGTCAGCAGGCTGTTGTTGGTCAGCAGGCTGTAGCCTGTGTGTTGGTCAGCAGGCTATGTAGACGTGTGTTGGTCAGCAGGCTGTGTTTGGTCAGCAGGTGTTCGCACTGTGTGGTCAGCAGGCTGTGTGTGGTCAGCAGCTGTTGGTCAGCAGGCTGTGTGTTGGTCGCAGGCTGTGTGTTGGTCAGCAGGTTGTAGACTGTGGTTGGTCAGCAGGCTGTGTGTTGGTCAGCAGGCTGTAGTGTGTGTGGTCAGCAGGCTGTGTGTTGGTCAGCAGGCTGTAGGCTGTGTGTTGGTCAGCAGGCTGTGTGTTGGTCAGCAGGGGCTGTAGTGTGTGTTGGTCAGCTGGGTAGGCTTGTGTGTTGGTCAGCAGCTGTGCTGTGTGTTGGTCAGCAGGTGTAGGTGTGTTGGTCAGCAGGTGGTGTTGGTCAGCAGGCTGTGTGTGTGTCAGCAGGCTGTGTGTTGGTCAGCAGGCTGTGTTGTCAGCAGGCTGTGTGTTGGTCAGCAGGCTGTGTGTTGGTCAGAGGCTGTGTGTTGGTCAGGCAGTGTGTGTTGGTCAGCAGGCTGTGTGTTGGTCAGCAGGCTGTGTGTTGGTCAGCAGGCTGTGTGTTGGTCAGCAGGCTGTGTGTTGGTCAGCAGGCTGTGTGTTGGTCAGCAGGCTGTAGCTGTGTTGGTCAGCAGGCTGTCAGGCTGGTGTTGGTCAGCAGGCTGTGTGTGTTGGTCAGCAGGCTGTGTGTTGGTCAGCGCTGTGTGTGTGGTCAGCAGGCTGTAGTGTGTTTGGTCAAGGCTGTAGGTGTGTGTGGTCAGCAGGCTGTAGGCTGTGTGTGGTCAGCAGGCTGTGTGTTGGTCAGCAGGCTGTGTGTTGGTCAGCAGCGTAGGCTGTGTGTTGGTCAGCAGGCAGGCTGTGTGTTGGTCAGCAGGCTGTGTGTTGGTCAGCAGGCTGTGGCTGTGTGTTGGTCAGCAGGCTGTGTGTTGGTCAGCGCTGTAGGCTGTGTGTTGGTCAGGCGGGTGGTCGGCTGTGTTGGTCAGCAGGCTGGTGCAGCGCTGGTGTGTTGGTCAGCATGTAGGCTGTGTGTTGGTCAGCAGGCTGGTGTGGTCAGAGGCTGTGTTGGTCAGCAGGCTGTGTGTGTTGGTCAGCAGGCTGTGTGTTGGTCAGCAGGCTGTTGTGTTGGTCAGCAGGCTGTGTGTTGGTCAGCAGGCTGTGTGTTGGTCAGCAGGCTGTAGGCTGTGTGTTGGTCAGCAGGCTGTGTGTTGGTCAGCAGGCTGTAGGCTGTGTGTTGGTCAGCAGGCTGTGTGTTGGTCAGCAGGCTGTGTGTTGGTGGTCAGCAGGCTGTGTGTTGGTCAGCAGGCTGTGTGTTGGTCAGCAGGCTGTGTGTTGGTCAGCTAGGCTGTAGGCGTGTGTTGGTCAGCAGGCTGTGTGTTGGTCAGCAGGCTGTGTGTTGGTCAGAGGCTGTGTGTTGGTCAGCAGGCTGGTTGTGTTGGTCAGCAGGAGCTGTGTGTTGGTCAGCAGGCTGTGTGTTGGTCAGCAGGCTGTGTGTTGGTCAGCAGGCTAGGCTGTGTGTTGGTCAGCAGGCTGTGTGTTGGTCAGCAGGCTGTGGCAGCAGGCTGTGTGTGGTCAGTAGGCTGGCAGGCTGTGTGTTGGTCAGCAGGCTGTGTGTTGGTCAGCAGGCTGTAGGCTGTGTGTTGGTCAGTAGGCTGCAGGCTGTGTGTTGGTCAGCAGGCTGT